TATCAAGATCGATACCTTTAGCATTGCGGTTGCCCGTTGCCCAATCAGATGTCTCGAAAACGTTGCCATGCCTTGCATTTCTATAGTAGTTTCTGGGTTCGTGGGCTGATCATGTTTGGTGTGGAAACGTGGCGCTCTCCATCGCAAAACCATCGAAACCCAAGAAGACCAGGGCACCCTGGAGGCAAGCAGGGTGTTTATTGGCACTGGTTTCCACTGTAGTCCATGCGATGTTGTTCGATGCCGCCGACAAGGCCCCTGGTCTCGCTGGCCCTTGTCGTTGTGATTTTCTCGCCGCCCCCCCCCTCGAGTCGTCTTGCTGGGCCTAGGGGAGCCGCGCGTTTGGCAAGAGTCGGAGCTCTACTGCCCACGTTTGAGCTCATCGTACCTCATTGCTGGAATGGGTGCGTCAGAGGTCTTCGTAGCGACCACCTTGTTGGAAACAATGGTGCTCATCTTATCTTTGCGATCAACCACACCGTGTGAATCTACCCGGAATTGCGAAAGGAATGACAGTGCCTTGCAGCCTTGTTGCCCCGCAGGGGGGGCTACGAATCTTTAAGAAGGCGCAGACGTTGTCAGTTTCACGGGGCCAGCTGTGAAAGAGCTTCGCTAGTCACAGGCGGCAGGCACTTTCGAATTGGTGGGTTGCATACGCGAAGGATGACGAGTGTAATCTAGAATGGACTGACAGGTTGCTGAATTTGGAATCAGACAAACATTACGCGCGAGCCTGTGCCTTACTCCATCGCGTCTGTTCTGGACAAATCCGTTTTCCAGCAAGGTGCCCTTTGTCAACTCGTAAGCAGCGATATCGGCTACCCCCGTCCGAGCGCGCAAGGCTTCTCCGAGCGCGCGCGCGCGCCTGAAAGCAGAACGTGCGACGCCCGGGCGGCAGAACAAAGAAGAGTGCGCAGGACGACGACAACTCTCAGGAGGCCGAAGATGCGACGTCGACCTCGACCCTGGCACAGGCTCTGGGGAGGGGGCCGCCGCCGCCTCCGCGGGCCTCACGATGCCGACGGGGCTCCCCTGGCGACCCGCCCCTGCTGGTCGGCAGGTTCGTCTTCTGCCGTCCTCGGCGCTCGGTCGTCCGGCCACCCCGCGTGCAGACGCCTCGTGCCCTCGGCCTCCTCGTCCTCCTCCTCCTCCTCCTCGCATCCTTCCTCCCCTCCTCTCCTCCTCTCCGCCTTCCTCCCCTCCTCCCCCTCCCCTCCTCCTCCTCCTCCTCCTCCCTACTCCTCCTCCCTCTCCTCCTCCTCCCCCTCCTCCTCCTCCCCCCCCTCCTCCCCTTCCTCCTCCTCCTCTCTCTCCTCCTCTGCCCACCCCCTCCCTCTCCTCCTCCTCCTCCTCCTCATCCCCCCTTCCTCCCTCCCTCATACTCCTCCCTTCTCCTCCCTCCCTCCTCCTCCGCCCTCCTCCCTCCTCCCCCCCTCCTCCCCTCCACCTCCTCCCACTCCTTTTTTTTCCTCCTACTCGAACCTCTCCGCCTCCTCCTCCTCTCCTCCTCCTCCTCCTCCTCCGCCTTGTGAATCGGCAAACCCACCCCAACCCCACCCAGGACTCCACTCCCGAGCCTCCTCCTCCGCCTCCCTCGCCTCCTCCGCCTCCTCCTCCTCCTCCTCCTCCTCCTCGCCGCCGCCAGCCTTCGATGGCAACGTCATCGACTACACGCAAGAGTGACCCTTCGCTGGAGTGACCTTTGGTGCGGGCCCGCCGACGTCCCCCGATCGCCGCCTTGGACGCGTCGGCAGCGGCGTGTGCTGTGGAGGTGCCCGACCCTGGATGCTTCTTTACCTGATCATGGCGGCGGCGATGTCCACGGCCAGGCCTCAACTGGTGTTCCACCGGCTTCCAGACCATGTATTCCCCGTACCACTGCCCTCACCCGATCACTTTCTTGGCGGTCCCGGTGCTCGGCGAGGAGGGCTCCTGGAGGCCCGGGGGCGGTCAAGAGCAGCCCGTCATGATTTGTCCCAATCGCTCGAGCATGCTTTGGGGGCCCCGCCGAGGCCGCGCACCAGAGGCCACTGGTTGCCTCGGAGCACTCCCTGGTGTGGCCGCGGGGCCCAGCCCGATCGGTCCGCGACCTCCCGCGGCGGCAGGCGGAGGTGCACCCGAGGGGGGGGGGGGCGGCGCACCTTGTGGCCGTCCAGCCTGGGCTGGAGGTCGCTCTCACTGGCCCCTCGAGCGGGTGCTGCTGGAAGTGCCCCTGGCCCAAGGTGTCCCCAGGATTTCCAAAGAGGCCCCCACGGCCTCCAGAGCACCCCTCACGGCCCCGGAGGCTCCAAAATGGAGCGACAAGCTTGGGGCACCTTGGGCCAAGGGCACCTCTAGCACCCCCCGGCTCTGTCCATCCAGGGGCCCGCACGCTGCAGGGCACGATTGATCTCTTGGCCACAAAAGTCGAGGAAGCAACACCTGCATGAACTTACACTTCGGAGCTCCGCGCGGATTTCTTGGATCCGCGCTGGGCGCCCCCCCTGGCGGCGCCTCCGGCCCCGCCCCTGGCGCGCGCCGCGTGCGTCAGGGGAGGGGGGATGCAGAGCCGAGCCACGCAGTCCGCGCGGACCTCCGACAGTACACGGTAGGTTCGCGTCGTGTCGACCAGCGGCGACCGCGCCGCCGGCGTTCAAACCTTGAACGCCGCTGGCAACCAAGAGTCGGTCGATGTTGGACGATCGGACGTCACGACACGAACTTACCGATGCTCATGACGTACTTGCTTCTGAACAAATGCGGTTCGTTGCCGCCCCACGGGCTGCTCTCATCACCGCCAGGGGCAGCGCCACCACTCCCACCCGCATCGCCACCACCGCCCCGAGATTGCGCCCAGCAGCTGACTCTCTATCTCTCTCTCTCTCTCTCATTGGGGCTGTTGTCTTTAATTGCCGTTGCGGTTTTACCCCTCTGCGTCCTCCTTCCTGGCAGTTGTTGGAAAGATCACACTTGCAGGCTACATGCACCGTTCTTGCCGTGCTCCTTTTCTTCATCGGCACTTCAGTGGTACAAGGAAGAGGACGAGGAGGAGGAGGAGGAGGAGAAGGAGCAGGAGGAGGAGGAGGAGGAGGAGGAGGAGGAAAGAGGGATACAGGGAGGAGGAAGGAGGAGGAGGAGGAGGAGGAGGAGGAAACAAGGGCGGCGGCGGAGGGCTGCTTCCCGTCTCTCTCGCGGGCAGCTCGGCAGGCCTCCCCCGCGGGCGCCGCGGCCGCGGGCGCCACGGCAGCGGCAGAGGCGCCGTCGTCGACGCCGGGACTGCCGGGGAAGGGCCGTTGGTCAGCACCCTTTTGTTATATGTGTATGTATGTGTATATATATATATATAATATGTGTATATTAATATATCATGTACACATATGATTGTGTTGATTATTTGTTCTCTCTCTCGCTCTCTCTCTCTCTCTCCCTCTATATATACATATATGTGTACATATCGACCTTTCTCTCTCTCTCTTTCTCTCTTTCTCTCGCTGCGTGGGAGGAAGAGATTCCGTATCCACGGCTTCGCGGCGGGCCTGTGGGTCGCGAGCCCCCGGGTACGGGGCGTCTTTTCGCGGATGCCCCCGCGCGGAGCGTGTCCGTGCGGCCGCGTAGCCGCGGGAGGGCGCCCTGGGATCAAGATCGCGAGGGCGTGGATGCGGATGCGTTCGGCGCTCGCGATCGCTCGCGGTCTTGCTGCGCGGCGGCAGGGGCCCTCCGGGCGCACTGCCCCGCCACTCCTCCCCCCCTGGTTCTGCCACTTCCCCATCCTTACCAGCCTCGAATGTATCCCTATCCCTAAGATTGACCCGCCAAAAGACGATGACAATCTGAGGGATTCGCCCTCAAAAAAGAAGGGAATCCTGATAAGATTGGCATCGTGATGATGAGAGGCCCAGCATAGGGATAGGGATATGTTCCAGGCCGGTAACATCCTGCCCCCCCTCCCCCTGCTCCCCTCCCACGTGGGGCTCTGCGCGTCCCCCTCTGCTCCTCCCCTCCCCTCCCTGGGCTCTGCAGAGGGGAGCAAAGGGGAACAGAGGGGTTCTGCCACGTCCCCTGCCCCCTCCCTCTGCTCCCCCCCCTGGTCCCCCCTCCCTCCCTCCCCTGCCCCCTCCCTCTGCCACGTCCCCTGCCCCCTCCTTCTGCCACGGCCCTGGGGTTCTGCCACGTCCCTCTGGCTGCTCTTGGCGGACGGCACTGGGCCCGGCGGCCCGGAGCTGCCGAGCGCCCCCCTCCCCCCCCCCCAGCGGATTTCGCGCTGGGCGGTGGGGAACAGAAGGGACGTGGGCACCCCAAGTCAAGGGACGGGGAGGAGTGTCAAGGGAGGAAAAGCCACCCCGAATCCGATCTTTCGAGAATCGGCGTTTGCTCCGCGGCCCTGGGCGTTTACTGAACAGCCCTGCCCTGTTCGATCCCTTCCTTGGAGGTGCGTTTACTACATAGCTTCGCTTGTCGGGGTGTTTTTTTGTTTAATCGCTTCGCTCATTCCGACGGCCCATATTGCCTCGCCGCTGTCGTGTGTCGGGGTGTTGTTGTTACTGCGGCGCCGTTGGCTGGCTGCCATTTTTCGGAGGCGGTGGGTGGTGGGTCAGAGGCCTCATGGATGTTGGTTGAGCTCTCGTGGTTGGCCTCTCGGGGGCCTCTGGAAGGCAGTTTTGAGGCCTCTTGGGGGCCGTGTTGGAGCCTCTTGGGGTCTCTTGGGGGCCTCTTGGGGCTTCTTGGGGTGCCTCTTGGGGGCCCCTCGGGGCCTCTTGGGGGCCTCTTGGGGCCTCCTGGGGGCCTCTTGGGGCTGAAGTCTGGACTTTTCGGTTCCGGGTCCCCTGCTTGGGCCCCTCTTGGGGCCGTTGTGGGACCCTCTTGGGCCGATCTTGGTGGCGCGTTGGGCCGTCTGGGAACGATCTTGTAGGCCTCTGGGGCAGTTCCAGAAGGGGGCGAGTTTTGCTTATTGGGCCCTTTCGGAGAGCCTCTTGGGGGTCTTTCGTGGTCTCTGGGGCCATCTGGAGACCATCTTGAGCGTCTTGGAATGATTTTTCGGTGACTCGGGGCCTCTTGGGCCGTGTAGGGGGCGTCCTGGCGCCCTCTTGGCGCGCTCCTGGAGCGCCCTGCGGGAGTCGGCCAGGCATCGCCCGGGCGTCGCCCAGGCATCTCCCGGGGTACTTTTCGTCCTGGGGTCCCCTGGGGCCGCTTCGCGCGCGCGCGAACTAGAAATATCGTTAACCTGTTGGCGGAGATCTTAGCACCCCTTTGACCTGTTGAGCCGGCGAATTATGAGGGTGGATTTTCAGCTCTCCGGGAGAGGAGCACAAGAGGGCGGGGGGGAACCTCATGATCGGGGGACCGGGCAGGGGGAGGGCAGGGGCACCGCTGATTCGTCCCTCCCGCTGCTCCGCCTCCTCTCTGCCTCGCCTCCCCTCCCCCATCTCTCTGCTCGGGTGGGCCCTCCACCCCAACTGCGCTCTCTTCCTCCTTGACCTCTCCCTCTATGGGCGGTGACCCCCCCCCCCTCTGCTCCCCTCCTCCGCCTCCCTCCGCCGCTTCTGCTCGGGCCGGTCCCCTGATGCTCGCTCGGGAGGCGGGCAGGGGGCGGAGTGTCGGCAGTGAGCAAGGCAGGGCGGCTCTCGCGGGCAGGCGCGGGTCGGGGGGAGGAGAGGCGACACCACCCCCCGGGGGGGGAGGGGGAGGCAGCTCCACCGGGGAGGTCCTCGATGCCTCCCCGGGCTGGGGACAGAAGATGGGGGGTGCCTCGAGCGAGGGCCGGGGGCCGCACCACCAGGACCAGGAGGACCCCGCCCGACTCCTCGTGCCGGTGCTGGTCGTGTCGGCTCGCCTTGTTCTGGGGGGGGGGGCGACGGGGACCACACCTTGCCAGTAGAGGCGACAGGGCCAGGCGATCGCAAACATGGATCAAGGAGGCGGCGTGGATTAGCTTTTTGGTCGGTGGGTCGAGAGCGGGTCTCTTCCCGTTCAGTACGCGGCGTGGATAGGCGACGGGTCCCGTTTCCATGGGAGATCGCGGATTTCCGCCGCCGAGCGAGGCGGCAGGGGCCGCGTTTTGGGGAGGGCGTCTCCCCCGACCCATGGATTTGGCGACCGCGCGCCAAATCTCAGCCACGCGCAGAGGGGGGTGGGGGGAGGGGGGAGGGCTTCTTAGAAGCACCCCTGCTTCTTAGAAGGCGCGGGCCTTATCTATAGATGGAAGGCCGGTGCCTTCTAAGAAGCAGCCTCCTTCTAAGAACCCTTCCCTCCTCCCTCCACCCCCTTTTGCGCACCGCCAGGTTTGCGCGTCCCCAGGGGTGGGGGGGGCGCGACGGGACCAGGCCTGGCCAGTCGCGGCGACAGGGGGCACTGGCCCGGGAAGCACGTCAGAGACCGGCACCCCGAGGGTAGGTCCCGCCGGGATTTTGTTCCGAGCAGGGGCGCTCCGCCAAGCTCCATGCGGCTTTTCTTTGCAGGGGCGGGCCCCAAAAGCACGCAGTCCTTGTTGAATCGCTTCGCTCACTCCGCCGGCCCGCATTGCCTCGCCGCTGGGGGGCCGTGTTGGGTCCTCTTGGGGCCTCTGGGAGGCAGTTTTGAGGTCTCCTCGGGACCGTGTCGGGGCTGTGTTGGGGGCCTCTTGGGGGCCTCTTGGGGCTTCTTGGGGTGCTTTTTGGGGGCCCCTTGGGGGGCGGCTCCCAAGCACACAGTCCTCATTTCAGGTCTGAGGGCCCGGGTTTTCGAGCATTTTCGTCGGCTCGCGGCGTATTGCCAGCCTGCCTCGGGATGCTCTCCCGCAGCTGCGCCTCACCGATAGGCGGCGCCCGGGTCGTCCCGAGCGGCCTCGGAGACCCGAGCCATGGCCTCAAAGCACGACGACGGGGATGCAGCGCCGATGTCGGGTCAATGCCCCCCCCCATGGACCATTGGAGCCACTTTTCCCCGATACCTCTCCTCGATTCCCCTCACTCAGACGAGGGCGAGCCGAGATAATTGTGATTGGCCGTCGGGGGGCGGCCCTCGTCGCCACGGCGGGACGCAGCTTCGAAAACTGGTGCGTTTGGACCCAGGGAGGGGTCGGGGGACCGATTTTGAGCTGCCGCTGTCTCAACTCGCCCTGCTCCGATTCACACGGGCGGTCCACTCGAGGCCCAGTCTGGGATAGGGCGGAGCTTGGATGCATCGTTCCCATCCCAGACCATTCCGTGGGGATGTGCGCACATCGAACGGAATGGTCGTGAACGCCTTGGCGCCAGTTCTTCTGCTCGGACCAGGAAGTTCAAGCAGATTGCACATATTTGGCCCCCGAGCGCCAGCTTGTTTCTGCACTCTCTCTCCCCCCCGCGCACGTGAGTATCGAAGGTTGTGAGGCGGCAGTGTGGGCCTGAGGCACCGCCTACAGCGCTCTGTCGGGCCGTTTGGGGGTCGCCGCGCGTGTGTGCGGCAGGGTGTGTCGGCGGCGGCCCCGCAGACCTCCTACGCTGCAGCGCGGCAGGGGCGGTCCGCACGCGCGCTCGAGCGGTCCGGGCAGCGGAAAGCGCGAATGAACCGGCGGCAGGAGGAGGAAAAGAGAGGCGGAGGCGGCCGCGGGGCGGGAGGAGAGGAGGGGAGGGCGCTCACACGGCAGGCGTGGCAGGCGTCGCCGCGCAGCGGCCAGGGGGGCCAGCCAGTGCACGACCCCAAATTAGCCTGGCGAAGGACCCAACCATATGCATCTGCGAGTACCGCGCAGGATATGCGACGAAGGAGGGGGGGCACGCAAGCTACGAGTAGCGCAAGGCATGTCCCCTCTTCTCACAGGCACCACGCCACTGCATGGACGAGGCACAGGGCAGCGCGGGCAGGAGGTGGCTGGCGGAGGAGGAGGGGGCCTGAGCGGGGCGAGCCACCACATCAGCATCAGCGCATCTTGAGACCTGTTACGGAACACGCAGGAAAAGTTACGGAGACACCGCGCAGATGTCAGAGGCAAGTGGGGCAGAAACGAAGTCCCCTACGAGGCCACGAAGCGTGTGAGGGCTGTGCCGGAATGGGTGTGGGGGAGGCATGCGAACGCAGCCATTGGGGGGAAGCAGACGTCGCGGAAGCGGTCGATCCCCGGCACGTCCAAGGCCGCCCACCCGCAAGCCGCGGGACGATCCGGAACCACCGCCGACGCAGACGACGACGGCGGCGACGAGGACGAGGACGAGGACGAGAAATGCGAGCCTTTAGCCTGGTGGTGACTGCTCCTCCTCATCCTCCTCCTCCTGCTCCTCCTCCTCCTCCTGCTCCTCCTCATCCTCCTCCCCCCTCTCCCAGTTCGTCGTATTCCTCCCTCCTCATCCTCCTCCTCCTCCTCCTCCTCCTCCTCCTCCTCCTCCTGCTCCTCCTCATCCTCCTCCCCCCTCTCCCAGTTCGTCTCCTCCCCCCTCTCCCAGTTCGTCGTTTTCCCACTGGGGCATTCGGTGGAGCTCCATATGGTGCCACGAAACGCTGTCCTGGGTACGGGAGACGCATGTGGACACCGTCACTGGGGCCTCCGTATGGGGCCACGAAGCGCTGTGCTGGCCGTGGGGGACGCATGCGACCCCCTCCACTGGGGCCTTCGGTGGTTCTCCCTATGGGGCCACGAAGCGCTGCCCTGAGCGTGGGGGACGCATGCGCCCCCCCCCCGCCTTCGGTGGAGCTCCCTATGTGGCCACGAAACGAATCAGCCATGGCGATGCCGATGATGACGACGATGACGACGATGACGACGATGATGATGATGATGATGATGATGATGATGATGATGATGATGATGATGATGATGATGATGATGATGATGATGATGATGATGAGGATGAGATGATGATGATGACGATGATGATGATGATGATGCTGATGGATGATGATGATGATGATGATGATGATGATGATGATGATGATCATGATGATGATGACGATGACGATGACGATGATGATGATGATGATGATGATGAGGACGATGATGATAATTATGATGATGATGATGATGCTGATGATGATGATGATGATGATGATGACGATGACGATGACGATGATGATGATGGTGATGATGAGGATGACGATGATGATGACGATGACGATGAGGATGACGATGACGATGACGATGACGATGACGATGATGATGATGATGATGATGATGATGATGATGATGATGATGATGATGATGATGATGATGATAACGATGACGATGACGATGATGATGACGATGATGATGATGGGAGGAGGGGGTGAGCTGAGACATGCGGTGAGCAAAGGCAAGGATGGGGGAGGAGGGAGGAGGAGGAGGAGAGGAGGAGGAGGAGGAGGAGGTGGGACGCGGGGCGCTGTCTCTTCAAAACGAGGACCCAGCACCACAGGTTGGTTGAGAAAAACATCCCGAAGTCAAATAATAAGTTCCAATCGTGTAGCAGCAGCGTAGGGGTCGATGAGGTCGCCTGCTTCCCCATCCGCCCCCTCTCCACCCCGAAGTGGTTTTGTCTTCCTCAGAGAAGCTTTCAGATGGAGTGGCGAGGACCGTCTACGACAGAGATCGACGACGACATGGATGAGCTCGAGGGCGGAGACTGCGACACCCCGTGCGTCCTCAAAGGTGGGCTGCTTGGGGGCAGCACTCGTCGCGATAGCATGGCGCTCGACGGCGCGAAAAGAGTTCATGTGTGTTCTTGCAATTGTGCGCGAGGGACAGGAACGGTAGCCATGGTGCGATCGATAGCGATGTGAGTATGTTTTCCAGCCGTTTCACCATGCTCATAAGCCATCGTTTTAGCGTGGGTTCTTTCGTCGCTAGTTTCTGGTGCAGTGCCCGAGCGTGTTGCAACCCCCTCTGTAGCATTGGCCCCCATGCCAACCATCCTTTTGTCACAAGTTCTTTGCGTACAAAAAGAACCCCCGGCAGTGCCCTCAATGCTATATCGTAGTACTTTCGAAGAGGCATTGAAATACGCAGTAATCGCGGATGCCGTCTTAGGCTCCATGAGGCCCTCTTTGGGCCATCTTGGGCCATCTTGGGCGCTCTAACTGCCCCCGCGCCCCCACTTCCCTGGTCCAGAGGAGCGGGTAGGGGGAGGGGTGAAGACACCCTCCTAGACAGCAAGCCGTTTACCTCACTCCCACCCGCCCTCCCAGCACATACGTAACACCCGAACTTGAGCATATTCAGCGGTCGTCTTTGGGCAGCTATTGAAGCCACAACAGAACCGACCCCATGTCCGCGACGCTGGGGCGAGATGCGCCACGCGTGCCAGGCGCGCCACGCGCGCCAGGCACCCCTGGGGCCCGAGCGTGCCAGGTGCCCCTGGCGTGCCAGATGCGCCACGTGCTCAGCGTGCGCTGGGTGTGCCGCGTGCTCCAGCCGCGCCAGGTGCCACGCTTAGGGCACGTGCAGAGTGTGCCAGGTGCGCCTGCGCACGTGACAGTACATACGGGCAACAGGTCGGCCCCTACCATTTTTTTTCGAAAACCAATGCCCATCATTGCGTTTGGTGGGCTTGCGCGCAGCAGGCCATACGCTACCACCCCCGCCGTCCTTGTCAAAAACCAATTGACAGTGATCGCGGGGCGGCCGCGCATGATCACGAGTTAGCCGTGATTTGTTTGTTCTTTGTTATATACATATATTTATGTATACAGATTTGTGCCGATATCTATATATATATATACATATGTATATAAACATATGCACATATGTGTATGCCAGGGGTGGTCGCCATGCGCACAGCAGGCAATATGCTGACACCCCCGCCGTCCCTGAAAAACAACAAATGCAAAGTGTTCGCGGGCCTGACGACCATGGCTCACGAGTTTGCCCAGGCGCGTACTTTGTATTGTTTTTTGACAGGAATAGTGGGGGGGCGCATCGGGTTGATCGCGCATGCTCCGAATTTGGAGGCGGAATGCGTTTTGTATTACTGTTCGGCAGGGAGGGTTGGGTGGGGGGGGGGGGCATGGGGTCGGCATTGTTCTTGGTTGGCTGCCAGTCGCCTGGGGAAGGGGGGTCTATTAGTACGGGGCAATGACCAAACCCTCCCCCGAGCAGGGGAAGGAGAGAGCTTTGGCAGTGAGAAGACATAGGTCGAGAAACCACCTACTCCCAGGGCTGGTGGGATGTTGGCCGCCGCGGCTTCGCGCGCACCGACGGGGCGGAGAACGTGGGCCCGAACGAACTAGCGACGCGAGCGGCTGGCGCGCACACACTCACGCACACACGCACACACACACACACGCGCACACACACAAACACTCACACACACTAGTCGTGCTTGATCGAATGCCTCAACACATTGGCTTAAGACTATGTTCAAATATGGTTCCGCATCCGATTCACTCAATCATGTTTTCAAGGCTCTCGTTTGCACCCCTCTGTTCGAATTGTATGAGGTTGGGCACGCGCGTGCCACTTGTGTACTGATGATAATGATTGGGAGGCGTTTCACACTTGAAGTACATCTGATTTACAGCTGGCCTTTTATCCGCATTTAATTCGCGATTTATGGTTGCTCGATTCGCATGCCACTCGCGTGAGTCTCACGTTATTCTCACACAATGTTTTGAGCTTCGTGTGATGCGCGTTGCTGAGTACTCGAACCACTCTTGACTCGCATGGGTTCGCACGTCAATGTCATTCGACTTTCACTGGACCGAGACGCCACCAGATTGCGCGAGGATGTCATCATAACATCCTCAGAACATCGAGGCGTTCGCCCTTGAGTCGCATTGCAATCGCATGCATGGGCAATGCGCATTTGGACATTCGGGTCCCCAAATAATTCTCTCACTCAGCAGTTCTTCCTTATCTCGCAATGGATTTGATTTGGCCGGCGGGGTCTGGCTGTTGTTGGCCATTGGGCCCTTTCACGTATGCTAGCGGTCATCTGGGCCTATTTGGGCTGTCAGCGATGGACCATCTAAGTAGCATCTGGGACTGATGTGGACATCCCATGACCCGCGCCCGTGGAGGGGGGGGGGGCGAAGCGCGAGCAGCACGACGGCATGCGTGACCCTGAGAGGCCACGTCTGGCCGTGCAGGGAAGAAGTACAGTCGGACCGCGGTATAAGATCGAGGTTCCCTGCCCCCGCCTTCCTCACCCCTCCCTGTATCGGAATACCTCCCAGTCTCTTCGATTGCAACTCTTGGGGGGGGTTGGGTATAACTTCTCCCCCCCAGGCCAGAGCTCGTGCGTGGAGCCTTCAATATGGAAGCTGCGCCGCTTGCAGCACAGCAGCTGGTATGATTTGGCCAAGCGCGCTTGCTGAATGCAGGCGTGGACTTCTAGTGCAAGTTCTCGCTTCGCTGCGTGTAGTGTGTTCCCCCCTCCCCCCCCAAAAAAGTGCCCCGCTCGGCGCTCCCGGGTGCACCCAGAAGCGCCGCGGAGGCGCGCTCCTGAGGCGGCCAGTGCGCGCTGCTACGGCCCTGCGCAGGCCGGAGGCGTCGAGCTCTCCTGGCTGGCCTGGCCAGAGGCGCACACCTGGGGCCAATGAAGTCCAACGTCCAGAGGAGGACGAGAGACGACGACGACGGAGAGGGAGGATGGGGGTGACGACGACGACGGCCAAGACATCTAGAGGAGGCTCGGGCCAAGGAGGAGGAGGTGGAGGAGGACGAAGAGGAGTAGGAGGAGGAGGAGGAGGAAGAGGAGGAGGCTCGGGCCAAGACGCTCAGAGGGGGAGGACGAGGAGGAGGAGGAGGAGGAGGAGGAGGAGGAGGAGGAAGCACGTAGCTCGGGCCAGGACGTCAAGAAGAGGAGGAGGGATGCAGCGCGGAGGAGGAGGAGGAGGAGGAGGAGGAGGCGGAGGAGGAGGAGGAGGGTGGTCAACCGCCCCGTCCAGAAGTGGGCCGCCCCGTGCGAAAGCGAGGGTGCGGGGAAGAGAGGCCCTCCTGCGCCCACCTCGTGCGCGTCGCTGCCTGCCGGCTACGGTAGGCTGGCGTCATGTCGACCGGCGGCGACCCCGCCCCTGGCGTTCAACGTAGAACGCCGCCGGCGACCAAGAAACGGTCAATGTTCGGGAGCCTTGAGACGGGGGTCAATGCAAACGGGGGTCAGCCAGAGCGCCAGATCCTGCAGGATCCTGCGAAGACCCCCTCTGGCTGACCCGGGTTAGCGAGCCGCTCGTGGCCGCGGGGCGGCCGCGCCTCTATTGGCTGACCCGGGTTTGCGAAGACCTGCGTTGCAGTTTTTTTTCCTGCATTGCAGTTTTTGGTTTCCTGCTGACCCTGCTGACGGCCAAGACATCTAGAGGAGGCTCGGGCCAAGGAGGAGGAGGTGGAGGAGGAGGAGTAGGAGGAGTAGGAGTAGGAGGAGGATGAGGAGGAGGAGGAGGAGGAGGAGGAAGAGGAGGGGGCTCGGGCCAAAACGCCCAGAAACCCGGGTCCGGATTGACCTGGGTCAGAAGATCCCTGACATGTTGAACGACCTGACGCTTCGGAAACGGCCGATCGTTCACGCTTGAGCGGTGCCCGCAGTGTCAGGAGCCCACGCCGGAGTCGGCGCGACGCGAGCCTGCCGCAGGAGGAGCGAGAGGTCGGAGGAGCGCGGGGCCGCAGCTTCTGCGTCTCTGCGGCTTCTGCTTCTCCGCACGGGCTCCAGGGGCGAGGGCCCGAGGTGCCGCGGAGCTCCCGGAACTCAGGAGAGGGAGAAACACACACAGACAGAATTAATCCTCGATTCCTCAGAACAGATGGGAAACTATGGGAAGTGGGGGGGAAGACAGAAACCCCGAGAATATGGGGAAATGTGGGGAGTGTTTTTATGTGTGTGTATTTACTTGTGTGTTCTGGGGCCCCTTTAGGAACGTGCCCTCCCGAGCCGATCGCATCGCGGCACAGCTCCTGCCCTGAACGAGCCCGGGCGCCCCTGGGCAGTGCGCGCCCTCTGCTTCCGCGGGCCTGCCTCGGCGGGGGGCGCGCCCGCGCCGGGGAGGCGAGAGCCACTCCTGCAGAGACCGCGTCGTCTACCTCGCCACCGAGGGCCCCTGGGCTGGCACGGGCCCATGGTGCGGCCGCCCTCCTCTTCTGCGCCGACCTGGCCTGTGTACTGTGCTGCTCGGCTCAGCTCTCTGCTGCTGGGCAGACTCCTCCTCCTCCTCCTCCTCCTCCTCCTCCTCCTCCTCCTCCTCCCTCTGCTACATCTCCTCCTCCCTCTCCTACATCTCCTCCTCCTCCTCCTCCTCCTCCTCCTCGCCTCCTCCTCCTCCTCAATGCTCTGTGCCGCTTGAAGCGAAACTTTCTTATGCCTCAGCGTCTTACTCTACGTTGAGGCAAAAGAACTGATATGACAGCTGACGCGGCTCTCTACTTTTTCTCTCCTTATCTGGGCTCTTTACGCGTTTCTGTATTCCATCTCTCTCTTTCATGGTCTCAAGAGGGCCCTTTAGATTTTCAAGAGGGCCCCAAGAGGCGCCCAAGGGGTTCCAAGAAAACCCCCAAGAGGCTTCCAACGACTCCCAAGCGGTCTCAAAGAGACCCTCCCGGGACCTCCCCAAACCGTTCTCGCCTCGCACGTGGAATCCAAAGCTGAAGTTAGAACGGCAAAGCTGCAATGCAAAAAAAAGTTGCAATGCAAAAATTGTAATTCTGATCGTTGTGGTTGGCGCCGTGGGCTTCAGTCCCTCCCTGGACCTCCCGAAACCGCACTCGCCTCGCACGCGGAATCCAAAGCTGAATCTAGAACGGCAAAGCTGCAATGAACAAAAAATTGCAATGCAACCAACATTGCAATGCAAACAAATCGTTAATTATGATCATGGTCGTCGGCGCCGTGGGCTTGAGACCATCCCTGGATCTCCCCAAACCGCTCTCGCCTCGCACGCGGAATCCAAAGCTGACGCTAGAACGGCAAAGCTGCAATGCAAAACAAACTGCAACGCAACAATAATTGCAATGCATAAAAGCGTTAATTCTGATCATGGTCGTTGGCGCCGTGGGCTTCAGACCCTTCCTGGACCTTCCGAAACCGCTCTCGCCTCGCACGCGGAATCCAAAGCTGAATCTAGAACGGCGAAGCTGCATTGCAAAACAATCAGCAATGCCAAAACCATGCAATGCAACAAGATGCATTTCGATCGTCGTGGTGATAGGCGTTGCCTCGCCAGACCTTTCCTAAACCACTCTCGCCCGGATCGAAGCTAAGTCTGCAATATAAAGCTCAAACCAGACCAACCAGACCAACCAGAACAGATGCAACGAAAAATTGCAATGCAACAAAAAGCTGCAAGGCAAGACAACTGCAATGCAACGACAATTGCATTTCGGTCGTGGTGGTGGTTGGCGCTGCCTCGCCGGACCTCCCCTAAATCACTCTCGCCCGGATCCAAAGCTAAGGCCGCAAGACGAAGCTCAAACCAAACCAACCAGACAAACCTCACCAGATGAAACATCAACTCCAATACAAAGAACTTGCAAAGCAAACAAACATTGCAATGCCACGACAATTGCATTTCGGTCGTCGTCGTGGTGGTTGGCGCTGCCTCGCCAGATCTCCCCTAAACCATTCTCGCGTGGATCCCAAGCTAAGGCTGCAAGACGAAGCTCAAACCAGACCAAACAGACCAGATGCAAAACAATTGCAACGCAACAACAAAATGCGAAGCAAACAAAAACTGCAACGACAATTGCATTTCGGTCGTCGTCGTGGTGGTTGGCGCTGCCTCGCCAGACCTCTCCTAAACCAGTCTCGCCCAGATCGTAAGTTAAGGCTGCAAGACAAAACTCAAACCAGACCAACAAGACCAACCAGACCAGATGCAACAGAAAACTGCAAGGAAAAAAATGCTGCAATGCAAAAATGCTGCATTTCGGTCGTGATGGTGGTGGTTGGCGCTGCCTCGCCAGACCTCCCCTTAAACCACTCTCGCCCTGATCCTAACCTACGGCTGCAAGACGAAGTTCAAACCAGACCAACCAGACCAACCAGACTAGATGAAAAAACAGCAATACAAAAGAAGGGGAAGCAACAAACATTGCAATGCAACACAAACTGCATTTCGGTCGTGGCGGTGGTTGGCGCTGCCTCGCCAGACCTGCCCTAAACCACTCTCGCTTGGGTCCTAAGCTAAGGCTGCAAGACGAAGCTCAAACCAAACCAACCAGACCAACCAGACCAGATGCAAAACAGTGAAATACAACAGAAAATTGCAAAGCAAACAAACACTGCAATGCAAACAAGCTGCATTTCGGTCGTGGTGGTGGTTGACGCTGCCTCGCCGGACCTCCCCTAAACCACTCTCACCCGGACCGAAGCTAAGGCCGCAAGACGAAGCTCAAACCAGACCAACCAGACCAACCAGACCAACCAGACGAACCAGACCAGATGCAACGAAAACTTGCAATGCAACAAAAAGCTGCAAAGCAAGACAGCTGCAATGCAAAAGAAGCTTCATTTCGGTCGTTGTGGTGGTTGGCGCTGCTTCGCCAAACCTCCCCTAAATCACTCTCGCCCGGATCCAACGCTAAGGCCGCAAGACGAAGTTCAAACCAGACCAACCACAAGATGCAACAAAATACTGAGTGCAACAGAAAATTTCAAAGCAAAACAACTGCAATGCAAACAAATATTCATTTCGGTCGTGGTGGTGGTTGGCGCTGCCTCGCTGGACCTCCCCTAAACCATTCTCGCTTGGATCCAAAGCTAAGGCTGCAAGACGAAGCTCAAACTAGACCAACCAGACCAACCAGACCAGAGCTAGACTTGCTCATTGTAAGCTTGGCGTCCCGCTGTGTGCTACACGGCTAAGAACTTAATTGTGTTGTTCGGCTCACCTTGCCGATGCTGAGCAGATTCGAACACGACCGTTGCCGAAACTCGCGGTCATCGCCTCGTCGTCTGCGGTTCCTTTGCATGAGTTCTTCGTCATGGTGTGTTGGGTTGGTCCGACTCGGAGTCGTATCTGTGAGCGCTTGATTTGCGTATGACGGCCCTCCGAGAAATGGCATGGCAGCGCTCTTGCATGGGCGTTGTCGTCTGTCTATCTGGCCAAGCGTGCACGAAGCGAGCATCTGGCCCTGACCTGTCTGCACGCAGCCCTGCAGCAGCAGAGAATGAGAGGGCACCTCGGGTCAGCCCGGGCCCCATTGGGAATCTCAGGTGCAAGCGGCATCGGAACGGGGCTCGAAGGGGGCGGGTCGGGGAGCGAGGTGCACATTGACAGTAACCACGGGGATCGTGTCGTTCTTTGGGGGGAATCGCAGCGGCAGGAGAACTTGCACGCGCAGCGTTTTGCCTCGGCACGTTTGGGGCACAGGCTCGTGCTGCTCAGCAGTGTAATGCTCTTGCTTCGCCAGCATGCTGAAATGCTCTGCTTCTTCGTCCAGGAGCCCTGACACTTCGAGCATCGTCCCCGAGCCCACTTCCTTGTCGCAGCCTGGGATGCGTCAGGCCATCTCCCTTCTACGCGTACTCTGCTTCTCCTGCTGCTTGTTTTGCTGTGCGTCTTCTTCCATCGACTTCTCGCACCCAACCCAAATCAGTGCGCCGAGAGGTCCAACGCGTGCGCCTCCGCTCTGGAGAGAGTGCGCGAGGCTCGCCCAAGTTGGCGCCCGCTC